TAAACAAAACACATCAGTCTGCATTCCATGCGCCTCATATACGACCTTCTTGGAAGTCGTCTGATCATATGTCAGTGTTTGCCCGTGAGTTAATTAATGTCTTTGTATCATAAGCTTTATTTCTGAAGTACGTGTGATTACACATTTAAGTTAAGTCTCGATGTCGGGTGTTGACATATCATCGTCACGCACGTGTACTATTGTTTACCCGGTGTTACTATAATTTACACCACGGTAATGGAATGCCCGATACGCAATACGGAAATGACGACACGAAAATACGAAAAGAAAAACATGTGTATTACGAAGGGTGGAAACTCGTTAAAGGAATGTGGCACATTGCACCTCTCAGCTTTTTTAGCACAGTTTATTGCACAGTTTCGTATTTTTTTCAGCGCATGCTCGAAAAAACTTTAACTTCCTATCGCGGTAAAAGTCGAAGCGGTGCAGTATAGTCTTGGTTTTCTGTTGTTTTTTATTCATTTTTCACTAATTGTGTAGGGTTTTATAGTATCAGCGACGTGCATAAAGGGTATTGGCAAGTACATTGATCTCTATTTTGCAATGTCATGTTATTAATCTGCTTCTGCGGTAACAGGAGGCCCACTGGACCTCCCCCCCCCTGTTTATTGTACTGAAAACGACTAACAAACTCTCATAGAGTTTATTTTAGTTTAAACATATTTTATCGTACAAATATACAGGGAATGAGGGTTTACCTAGAAAAGAAATCGTGTAAACTGTGAAAAGGATCCGCAATCAAATGAAGACAATGACTTGGGCATTACAAGAGGGATTGGGGATATGTATGTGAGAAGAGTGCAGAAAAGTAAGAGGTATGGTCGAGTGATAGAGAGAGTGCGAATCATCATGGATGGATGGATGGATGACAGGTTTCGCGCCTACATGAATCCGCCCTTACGCGAATCATCATATGGGTAGGCAGTATATATACAGATGGGGGACACAGGAACGTGGATCGGGGTGAATAAATATGATAATAACCAATATTGATCTGTATGGAGATTCACATTGGAAAAGACTTGCGAAGATAATACAAAAAACAAAAAACAAAAAATTATTATAAGATAAGCATATGAACAATGAGATATTAATGGCTATATTAACTACATGAGTAAAGATGTAGCATCATAAATGAAAAAATAATTTTTATATTACAGGTACATTACATCTTTTAACTATTTTTATGAATTTCATAACTAACAAATAAGCAACTATTAAAAAAAAAAACCACAAAACAACAACAACAGTATGTACAGCTTGAGTATGCACACAAGAGCCTGCATGAATCAGTGTGCCCTCAGGTACTAGCCTCGTCTGCCAACACACACTAAATTATGTTTATTTAAAATCCCAACATTGACCACCTTTAATAAATAATACTTACATTATAGATGTCTTGGATGTAACTTAATTATGATATAGAAAATAAATATAACAGTGCATTGGATCCAGACTTCTAGCACTGAAATATGTTGAGTTCTCAAATGAAATAATCAGATCTCAGAATTTGAAAATAGTTAACAAGTTCACTGGTTGAACAATGTTAAAATTCAAGGGTCCAAAATTAGTTGTCTCCCTCCAAAATTGGGATTGTCGGCAAGTA